TACCAATTTGTTTAAAGCAGCTTCGGGTTTTTTTATACAATGAGAAGAGCACCGAAAACCCCAGAAATGGCCATTATGTGACTAAGCTGTGCTCCTTCCAGAGCATTGCCAGACAGAAGCTATCAAGGAAATGGGGTTCGCGGGGGAAGGGCGCATGAACACTTACGAGGGCAGTCCAAATATTTTAGGCTGGGCCATGATGTCAAGCTCATACATTTTCAAAACTTTGGGATTGTGATGGGGAATCTTTCCTTCGAAATATAAGCCATATCGATATAATCGACAGTCGATTAACTTAGTCGATATTCTTGCATTTATAAAAATTGAGAATGTTTAATATCGTGCGGTCATAAAATGTGGTCTGCGCAGATTTTTCTCCATCGTTTGCAACTGTTTAGTTCTAGGCAGCTGAACTTACGAGTTGACGAGCATAGAAGATGAGATACGTCGGGGACTCCCACAAACCGTAACCTATGACGAAAACATTGCCAAAATTTACGAAATGATTTTGGACGATTGGCGAATCGAAATAAGAGCCGAGATAGCTAAGACATGAACACATTGAGGGTCGTGTCTGCTTACTTTCGATCAAAAACGTTATACCATACATCGCATGGCAAAAATTCATCCTAATTACTCTCTAGACTTAGCCTCAATCAACTTAATTATATTCCAAAGCCCAAAGTTGCATTTGGGAAACTGAAATGTTCATTATATGGGGGTGGGGGGTGTGTCTATTACCTTCGTAAACAACCATTTACAGGAGCAGGACGGCGAATTTTTTTTGGGGGAATTGTGTTAGTTTAAATGGAGACTATGTTACAAAATAAAAAAATGGGTGCTGTTGAATTCTATAAAGATCAGAGTAAGCTGATAATTTCATAAGCAAAAAATAAATAAATTACCAATAATTACCAAAAAAATAATAAATACAAGAACAAAAATAAATAAATATAAATAAATAAATAAAATAAATAAAACAATTGATAATATAAGGGCGGAGGAGGGATTAGCAGATCAACATACAGTACAGTCCTGCCTTCAAATAAAACTTTTGGAATGCAAATTCAATAAATTCAATATTTATTGTTGTCTTTATGCGATATTCGTGTTCACTGCTAAAGTTTCTTTGAACTTTGCATAAAAAAACAGATTACTAGGTTGGGTGCAGCTTAGGCAAGGAAAGCGTACGGCACGCGTTGCACTTTTGCTTTTTTTCCCGGGCTTATCGTGTACACTGAGTCATGTTCCAGCTAAAAGGGTGGGCAGTGAGTGTTAGTTTGTGTGTTGGTTTCTTGTTATGCTCTCGTTATCGCTGCAGTCATTTTTCAACGCGCTCAGATAGTGCCATGTAACAGAAACGCATTTTATCAACTACAAGAAGCCCGCGTTGCAGACAGGGCACGAACTAGGAAGCAGGGCTAGGGCTGGGGCCAGTTGCAACAACAGCTTCAACAGAAAGGCCAAGTGCCAAGAGAGCAAGCAAGCAAGCAGAAAACATAAAGATAAATGCAATGAGCCACAAATACGTGGCGTTTCTTTGCCCAAAGTGTCGACAAGGACAATGTCAAATGGGCCAATTCAGTGCCTGGAGGAGGGTGCCTCAGGGGTCCTGCAACTCTATCTGTGAGGCTGGGCTTGTCCTTCAACATGAATGCGCACTTAACGGCAACTGGCGCTGATTTGGACAGCACTTGCGCTCAAAATTCAAAAATTTCCCCTTGTGCGCCATGGCTAGGCAAAAGATAAGGCATTCCGGAAAACTTGTTGGGCTGTGCACAATTTATCAGTTTTTCTTTAGTGGCAAACACCATGCCATAATATTATTTGTAACATAACGCGGCACATGATATTTTACTTAAAGTTCAAATTGAATTCCGTCTCACGTACTTTAAACAGATGACAAACTGTTTGCAGCTATTAATTAAATCGGCGACCGTGTCATAAACCCCATAAATGTCGCCTATTTCAATTATTCAAGTCGTTCGTTATGTTTTTCTACTGCATATCAAATAACGATTATAATTAAACGAACAAAAGAGAAATAGTTGCGTAAAAGTGCACTGAACCCATATGGCCGATAAGGTCTTCCACATAATCCATGATCGGTGATATTTTAAAATTTCTTGCACGCAGCAAAGAGCAAATTCAAATACTTTCGCAATTTATTGAGTGTAAACATGGCCAAGGCGCTAATTGTATTGGCCAAATTAATTGAATCAACACAGACGAATTGACTTCGAGCTGCCTCGAAGGGTTAACTATTTGCCATTTGCTGATTGCGTTTCGTTTTTTGAAGCCAAATGCAAATGTCCCTTTTGTAGACCAAGAAGTGCCACAGACCGCGGGGAGGGGGAGGAGGAAGGCAAATATCGAGCTCTTCGCCTATCGCCTGTTGCCTGGGAAGGCGTTCGAAGGAATTAATTAGGCGAAAGCCAATTACACAAAACGACTTACGCAAAATGTCAGCACAGAAACGGCGCCTTGGGGAGTTCAATGGAAGTTGAATTGGGCCAATGGCTACATGGAAATACTCGTACAACTGGCGGGTACATTGGCTAACTTGTCTCTTAGTTATTGGCAATAGCAGCTGATTTAATTAGCGCGTTAATTTCGAGTAGATGGCCTGGCAAATGCAAAAACTTTGTAGTGCTTAAGGGAAAGGATACTGAAAACTTAAACACAAGTTAAAGCTCATTGGAGGCGTCGCATTTTGATGAGGTGGTGTTGCAACAGCGCCTCTGGCAGCCACACGTAAGTCAAGGTCTTGGGTCGCGATTGCGGGGCTGGAGGTGGGCCAAGAGTCCTCAGGTGACGGGCCAATTAAATGAAAAACGTTTCCATGTCGGAGCGCTAATGGTTGTCATAACTTGATCGATGCGCCCACACAACAGGCGGCAGTTCAGCCGTTCAGCCATTCTGCTGTTCAGTTGAATGATTGAGCAGCTTTAAGTTGCCTGCAAATCAGCAGTCAGCCCAGTGAGAGTCCTAATGGCAGCCAAATGCGAACAAAAGCCGTTCACACATATATCCACAATCTGCCAGCAATATAAGTAACTGCCACCAAACGACTCACAAGTGTCACGTGGAGGTATTACAAACACAATTCACACGCTTTTGATAGCTCACCTCGACTTCCTGTGCTGCGCGGATACACAAAAAGAAATAATGTTTTAATTCTTTAATTGAAGTGTTAAAAAATAATCTACAATTTATATTAAAAACTGTTTATGCGCATAAAAGAAGTGCCTGAAGAAAGAGTTTCAGCTGAGACTGGTTTGGGGCCGATTATAGCGATAGTTGAAAAGTAAATAAAACATGTTAAGTGAAAGTTCGCCATGAAATTGTAAGAAGTGCATAATTAAAATTAAATTCTAGATTCTCTGAAGCCCTCGAAATATTACTCAATTTCTTTTCTTGTATATTAGAGAAGAGTGAATAAGAGCAATAAATGAATTAAATAGTTAATGGCATAAAGGCAAACAAGAAATGCAAATATCCTAGAACTATATGTGGTTTTTGAGTTGCTTTTGCTAATGCATTATTGTCGAGTAAGTACTGTAGGCTAAAGGAATTAACCCTAGATGGTTGTTGTTATTTTACGTTTACACTCAAAACCGCTACTGCCGATTTTAAATTGTTGCTTTTTGACCACTAAGAACAAAAATTTGCTGCTTTTACAATTTTTAAATGTTGTTTATTTGATTTATTTTGAAATTAAATTTTAATATGTATATCATATATTTAGACTAAATTTCAAAGTATATTTGACAGTTTAAATCAGACTTCAATACAAATTCTTGCTTTAATCAAATACAAACTTCAAATAATACTGAAAACTAATAAAGAAACTTAGTTTTTGGAACATATGATTCAACAAAGAATAACCATCTAGTGTTGAAAATGTAAATTTTTGCTGGACTATTCATTGACATATCCATTTGATTTCCCTAAAAACTTGCCTGTTTGTTCGCACACTTCCACTTTCAAGTGTTGAAGAAAGTTACTCTTTACTTAACAACTTTTTTTTGGGAATATTTAGGATATAAGGAACTTAATTGTTTTTGAAATTAATTGCGAATCATCGATGGTCAGTTTTATATCAGCTTGCTGACTAGTTTGGCTTTTAGTGTATTGGGCCCATTGGGCATGACCAGCACAAAGTGGGCGCGAACATTGTCGAGTGTTGAGCCACTGCCCGCAGCTGTTGCTTAACACACACTGAGAAAGAGACACACATAGACACACCCAGATAGACCCCGGACTAGCGCTGAAGTTGCGGTAAACAAGCAATATCCTGACTACTTTATTTATGGGCTTCTTACTTTATGCCTTTCGACTTTTGTTTCGAAACGTTTCAAGTTGTTGTGCACAGTTCGATTGTGTGGCAATTGATTTTCACATTGTTTTTGGACACTGCCTTGTTTACTTTTTACAGCTTTTCTATGCGTTGCACGCGACACACACATACATATAAGATACATACAACCGATAGATAGATAGACAGATAGATAGTTGGAAAGCAACGAACAAGTCATTAACTCAATGTTCTGTTATATCTATATATATATATTTAGTCGTTATCGCCAAAGCGCTGCCTCGACATATTTTCGGCAAATATTTATCAATTTATTACGCTAAAAAATTGCTACAATTAAGTGCGCTCGTGTTGCTGTCAATGTCAATGTATTGCTCTTATTTATATATCTCTCTCCATATATGGTATACTCGTACAAACAAACATATACAAGTATGTATGTTATGTGTCTGTGATGATTAATTTTTCTCTCGTGCATTTTCTTTTATTTTAGCTTCAGCAAACTACAAATAAATTGTCTGGCGCTTGTGTAAGAGTTGCAGCAATAATAAGAACAGGAAGATTATTTACAAAACAGCAGCAGCCGTCGGCAAACATGGCGGATACGCAACGTGCCACAAATGCCACCCACTCGATACAACAAAGAAATTCGCGCATGAGAAAACAATTGAATTGAATCAAAGATTCGCCTTTCAGACTTTTCCACACCAACTGCACTTTAACTTTACACTGGTCTGCGAAGAGAAGCGAGCATCCAAGCGAGCATCCAAAATGTCCGAGTTTCGCTTTTTCGCGTACACGGACTACGCCTACACGACAAATCAAACGCAGAATATCCTCAATCTGCCGATCTCACCATTTCACGCTTCCGCCCAAACAGAAGATAAGCAGTCCGATATACCCTCCGGAGAGCTGAACATTCCGTACACTGTCTTCGAAATTCTGGTGGCCATCGTGAGCGTCATTGGGAATCTCATGGTCATCATTGTGTTCCGGCGGGAGCGCAAGCTACGTCGTCGCACCAACTACTATATCGTCTCGCTGGCCATTGCCGATTTTCTGGTGGGTTCTCTGGGTGTTCCGTTTGCAATTCTGGCATCGATCGGACTGCCACACAATTTGCACGCCTGCCTGTTCACAGTGTCGCTGCTGGTGGTCCTCTGCACCATTTCCATATTCTGCCTCGTGGCCGTCTCCGTGGATCGCTACTGGGCTATTTTATATCCCATGGCCTACTCGCGCAATGTGCGGACAAGAACGGCCATTAGTAAGTACGAAAACACTTGGCACTTTATTGAAATTTGAAAAGCTAACCAATTTTAACACGATGCTATTGATATATTTTTTCAAATTGAAAAATATTTAATATTTTATTGGTTGGTGCTCCACAGAGTAGTAATGTTTACTAAATAAATAGTGTCTATTGATGAGACAAGTTATCCGTTAACAGTACTGATGATTATCTTATTAATTTCATTACTTTATTCATTATTTCATAATATTATAATTAATAAAGATAGAATATATTTGAATAATCAAGGGATCTAGGATAAAAGCTATCAGTTTTTGTTTTAAATAAAGGTTTCTTTTAACCGACTTCGACTGTGTGAACCGATTTTGATGATTCTTTTTGTATTTGAAAGCAGATGCTGCCCATATGGTCCCATTTCGATTTGGTTCCGTTCTAACAATGGCATCCATGAAAACTACCTTAAACCCAGCCCATTTAGTCAATTTCAATGACAAAAAAAGCATTCACTGTATTAGGCCCGAAGTCAATATTTTGATTTCTTCAAAATTTTACTTATCATATTCTTATTATTAACAAGAAGAAACTACTTTTATTAGGAATTTCTCGGCTTAATTATGTATTTAAGAATAATATTTATTTAGATTATTTTTTGTTAAGATTCTATTTCCGTTTCATTTTATGAAATGTACGCCAATGAACAGTATTTATATTAATTTATATTTATAGACAGAGTTATAGATAACACTATTCTGCTACCTCAATTGAAACGACCCATAAATAATTGCGTGCTACATGCTATTGAGGTTCTCCAACTTATTATGAATCAAAGATCTTCAGATTAGAGAGTCGGCTTTACAGACCGTTATATAATAACTTTTAGAAAACAGCAAACTTTTTACAATTATAAGTTATCTTGTGTAAAAACTGGAAAAAGTAAGCGAATTGAGAAAGCCTTAAAGGGGGTATTGAATATTAAAAACTATAACCTAAGACTGTAGTAAACGGGAAGATTATGCAAAATTAGTTTTGCAATACTTGCAAGCATAAGTTCCGGCATATGCCGTCGTCATTGCCGTTCCATTGTTTGATGGCTTGCTTGTGTGTTGCCTTTTGTTTTAGCCGCTTTGTCCTTGATGGTTTGCTGCTTTTGTTGCCGGCTAACACTTTCCACTAGCGCTGGCCATGTTTGAGTTGTGGCTCAACGGAAGCTCAATGCTGTTTAATGCATTTGCGTCATTTGGCTGCCGATAGTAGTTCATTGCACTGCCAACGCCCTGACGTATGCAACACAAATTGCGAATTGCAAATTGTCCCAGAAAAGCCAAACAAAGTATCCGACGCAACTGTTGCACTTTCTCCATTGCCCATTAACAATGCGATTCATTAGCCAGCCACCGACAGCTGGGACGTAGCCTTGGCTGGCTTCGCCTTCTCATTTACAGCGGCAGCAGTCGTGATTTCAAGAGAATTATTAAAGCTGGCAGGTCCTGTAGTTGAAATGAAGGACTCAACATTGATGTTAGTCAGGCGAACTAATTTGGTTTAATTTCTTTTGCAGTCATTATTTCCTTGTGCTGGGTAGCTGGCACTATTGTCGGCTTTTTGCCGCTCTTCGGCTGGCACGCCCACGCCGACCATGGGAAATGCCTATTCGTCGAGGTCATGGACTATAATTATCTAGTGTTCCTGTATTTTGCCACCATTATCACGCCCGCGATACTCATGCTGGCCTTCTACACGCACATCTATCGTGTCATCATCAAGCAGGTGCGCCAGATAGTGACCATGAATCCTGCTTCGGACCTAAGTCGGCGATCCTCTACCGCCCAGATCCAAGTGACGACGACACCGGGTCGCGGTGGAACCATGTTGCGTGTTTTGGGGGCAGCTCGCAAACGGGATGTTAAGGCTACACAGAATCTGTCTATTATAGTGCTCTTCTTTATGATCTGCTGGATACCGCTATACACGATCAACTGCATTAAGGCCTTCTGTCCCGATTGCTATGTGCATCCTAAGCTGACGCTCTTCTGCATTATTCTGTCGCATCTGAATTCAGCTGTCAACCCAGTGCTCTATGCCTATCATCTTAAGGATTTCCGCGCCGCGCTCAAGAATTTGCTGTTGAAGCTAATGGGTGTGGATATTGATCAGCAGGCCGAGGCCAACCATCGCTTCTCACTGGCCAGCCAGCATCGGCTGCAATCCATGGACTCAAATGTGCGATCCACTCAGCCGCGCATCTATGTAGGTAAGTGCAGGCACGGATTTCGATTTTAATCCTTTGCATTCATTTCGAATGTAATGGCGTCTTTGAATCCAGTTCAGTAACATGTTGATTTGTGTCCACAGACTCCCCTATTTGGTTGCGTCAGCAACAGGAGGCGCTCAAGAGCTCACAGCTTCTGCCCAAGTGTGGCGTCGTCAAGCCCTGCTTTAACAACATTAACCAGACAGTGGCGGCGGTGGCTTCTGTGACGACAGATATTGAGCGCGAGATGTGGAACATTGTGGAGGCCTCGAGTGGGGCAGAGCTGGGCGAGGTGAGCTACGAGTTTCCTAGTGGTAAGCAGGACAGCGATGGGGACAGCAGTAGCAGTCAACAGCCGCCAGGGTCGCAGCGTGCGCCTCAGCAGGCACATCAGGAGCGCCTGGACAGCGCCTACTCCTATGACAACCAAAACTTTTCAAGCAGCGCCGATGATGAGAATATGGACGATGATGATGACGATGCTGTGGAGTTTGAGGATGTCTTTGTGCCGCAGGGTGCCGTCGATCCCGCCCAGCTGAGACGTTCACTGGCCTGTGTGATGCGCAATAAGTTGCGTAGCGACGAGACTGACTTCCAGGTGGCCAGTGAGAGTGCGCTCTACAGCTGCAGCGAGTCGCAGCGGGAGCTGCCGAAGCCCAGCTCCACGCACACCTCTCCCACAAACGGCAGATTGCTGTTCACCGGCGGCTCGAACAGCGCCCACTGCCTGCCCAGCGCCTCCGTTGTCTACACCATCGACTGCGATACAAATCCGCTATCGCCGATTCACAGACCGAAGTATCGCAAGGCTACTACGCTCACGCGCAACTCGCGCATGAAAAGCCGCTCCTGTTCCTGCAACAGCGATGTCGCTCCTAGCGATCCCACTGTGCAGAAGAACAACAACAACAACATCAACAATAATCTCAGCGATAGGCCAGAGTCGGGACAAACGCCGCCAGTGCCGTCGTCACATCTTCACGAAAGCTTTTTCAGTCCACTAAAGTCGATGGGTAGCTTCATGCTGCCCATTGGCAAACATTCCAATCTATTTCATTTATTCCAAACCCATTCGACAAGCTCGGAAAACTCAGTGCCAAGTGGAACAGGGACGCCCACGCTATCAGCGACGCCTATGCCTGCGCCGCTGGTATCCAACGACACGTCGGCACCTGCACCAGCGCCAGCGCCAGCACCAACACCAGCACCAGCAACATCCCTAATCCCTGCCAGCTCTGAAAGTTGACCGGCGGACATCGTCACGCTGCTTCCAAACGGAAACCTATAGAAAAATACTCGCGAATTAAAAGCTTTCCAGCTAAGTGGTCGTTGTTGCTAACTCGCTCGCTCCTCTAATACTATTAAAATAAGAGTTGTTTTAGAGAATTGGTGTCATTAATTATAGCATTGAAAGAAACAACATTTTGATTAAACGTGGTCCCGAAAGCTTAGTTAATTACGCGCATTTATTTTTTGGTGTATTTGTATTTGTTACTGTTATATGTAGCTGTAAATGGATTGTAAATACTAAAATATTTTAATGTTTGCAACAAAAATAAGTAAGTCAGTGTATTTATATGTATGCAGTTATATAAAGTTTTAAAACAATTAATGTATAAGTATACACATACATACATATGTATGTATATTATATTTAATTCTTTGTACGTATGTAGTATGTATTTATGTATATTTGAACGTCTGTGAAAACCAAATTGAAGCATGTCCAATGAACTTTGAAGTCAAATAAAAATGTATTTACAAATTAATTATTAAAAAATAAAACCAGTCGTTATCATAAAAAAAAAGTCGGTCGATTCAATTTCTGATTCTTTTCATCATATTCTGATAGTACAACTAATTTGCATATACTTATAGGGTATATGTTCGGATTTGGTATATTTATGCACATTTTGTTTAAGCGCAGCTGGCAGTCTCTTGGGTTCGTTCGGAAGGCGCAACAGAACAGCTGTGTCATTCCAGAAAGCTTAACATAAGCCTTGCACATGCCGGTGTGGTTGATGTCTTGGCTATGTGGCTTTTTCTGGGTTTATTTACTTTTAAACTGAAATTACTTTAATTTTTGTGTTGCTTAATTGATGTTCTTAGTTCTATAAAATTTTTGTTTCTTAGTTATTGTATATTATCCAGTTAGCCACGTTTTGTATGCTCTATACATTACATGTGCCGGTGTGGTTGATGTCTAGGCTATGTTGCTGTTTCTAGGTTTATTTACTTTTATTTACTTTTAATATGAAATTACTTTTATTTTTGTGTAGCTTAATGGATGTTCTTAGTTCTATAAAATTGTTGTTTCTCAGTTATTGTATATTATCCAGTTGGCCATGTTTTTTTTATGTTCTATACATTACACATACATAACTCACAAAATTTTATATAACAAATCAGTAATCAGCACACTCCCCTTACACACACGAGTCTGAAGTGGTAGTCAAAATTTCGGTTGCATCACAATGATTTTGGTCAATTTTACGATTTGCAATAGTTTTAATAAGTGTGGACTTAGCCGTATTATAGCTAATTCGAGTTCTGCTGCTTCGGTTTTCGAATCGCAACGTTCTTTTCACGCTCTGAGCTCGCAGCGGGCCTGTAGTATGGACAACAACCCAAGCCCTAGCCACATGACTTTGGATGTGTTCAAAAGCGTTGTCTCGCATGCGCTTTTGGGCAAGTTCACAGCTGTTTTTCCAAAGCTTTTCAAGTGCCAGTGGAAGACTTATGAAGGTCAAAAGAAGGTTAGTACATCAGTCGATTGCTTTCGAGGTGGGTGTGTACGCGGAACAAAAAATTTGCGAAAAAAAGCAAAAAAGCCAAAGTTTGATAACGAAGTTGCGGCGATTTTTCAATCAAACTTTGCATTATTTACCCGTCGAAATTCTAAGTGATAATAACCGAACCTCTCTCCCTCTCTTTCGTTGCTACCTGCCGGCGTGCAGTTTTACGCAAATTTCAGTACAGATTGCAATATGGGTCGTAAATTCTGCGTGGGAGGCAACTGGAAGATGAACGGCGACCAGAAGTCCATCGCCGAGATCTGCAAGACGCTGAGCGGCGCCCAACTGGACCCCAACACCGAGGTGGTCATCGGCTGCCCGGCAATCTATCTGATGTACGCACGCAACCTTCTGCCCTGCAACATTGGTGTGGCCGGTCAGAATGCCTACAAGGTGGCCAAAGGTGCCTTTACCGGCGAAATCTCGCCAGCCATGTTGAAGGACATCGGCGCCGATTGGGTTATTTTGGGGCACTCGGAGCGTCGCGCCATCTTCAAGGAATCCGACGAGCTGATCGCCGAGAAGGCGGCTCATGCTCTGGCCGAAGGCCTGAAGGTCATTGCCTGCATTGGCGAGACTCTGGAGGAGCGTGAGGCTAACAAGACCAACGATGTGGTGGCACGCCAAATGTGCGCCTATGCCCAGAAAATCAAAGACTGGTCCAACGTGGTGGTTGCCTACGAACCCGTGTGGGCCATCGGCACCGGCAAAACCGCTACGCCCGAACAGGTGAGTTGCGATAAATGAAAGAAATCGAATATTGCACTAACTGCTGTCTTAATTGCAGGCTCAAGAGGTGCATGCCTTCCTGCGCAAGTGGCTCTGCGAGAACATCTCACCGGAGGTGGCCGAATCGTTGCGCATTCAGTATGGCGGCTCCGTGACTGCTGCCAATGCCAAGGAATTGGCCAAGAAGCCCGATATCGATGGCTTCCTCGTTGGCGGTGCTTCACTGAAGCCCGAATTCGTTGAAATTATCAATGCTAAGAAGTAAAGCCCATCGACCACGTTCCACCAACGCAGCGCAAAACTGCCCACAAGAAACAAAATTAATATATATTGCGTTAGGGGAAATCGGACATCGGCCCCTTCTACCTCCACCTCTCGATTGCATTATGCATACTTGAAATTATTATTGTTGTTAGATTAGAGCCGGAGGGTAGCATTGAAAAATGTGAAACAAAATTCTTAGTTCATTGCAAGTACATAAAGCACAAAATTGTTGGTAAAAAGTCGTATCAGAGATATATATATAAATAACTATTAATATATATACAAGTATGTTACTTTATTTATTCTGGCAATAATTGTTTACACATGCATATTACCTTAAGTTGATTTGATTTAAATCTTTACTCAAATGCTAAAGTAGCCAAATAAATAATGATATTTATAGATGAGATGTCTACTAAGTTCTCAATGTCAAATTAGGCATTATTCTATATAATATACGTGATATACGTATAGTACATTTATTGTGTGTTTTGGAGGCCTGTTCAAAGTTTCGTTAAACAACTTTAGTATCAGGTGTTATACATTTTATTGACTTGATAAGCACAGAGTAAGGTATGAGTGAACTAAGTCCAACTTTTAGAAGAATAATCACCAAATAGTTTAGAATAATTTGTACTAAAATGCTTTTTAATCCGCTGCTACAGCTAATCCGAAACACCTTAGCTGTAGTAGAAAATATTGTTTCAGCTTTGCTTTCGTTTTCTATAGACAGATAAAGGACATCAAAGAAGATTGTTATATTAAGAACCACTAACTACCCTCTCATCATGATTGATGTGGTAGCCTCCTAGGCATTACATAATCATTCAGTTAGAATGTTACGGTCGAGCCAGTCCGACTGCGAAATACTCTGTACTTCGGCGCTGTCTTATATGCGTCCATACTAAAAGAAAAAAAAAACAGAAAAAAAGAAGAAAAGCGAACCCGATCCTGCAGCTTGTGGGCATAGTGCGGGAGTGATATTTTTTGTTGTATAATAACTTTTTCTTCAGAAATGCCCGATTTTGATGAAATTTGAAACAACGTTAGAGAATTAACGTGTGTATTAATGTAGCTTTGGAACTGTGGACAGTATTGACGAAGTTCTGTAGCGCGGGATGGGAGGGGGGGGGGGGGAGGACTAATATAAACTAGTGTTGCCTGGGCATAAGGATAGAATAAGGATAAATACCAAGTTTGATTAATGTGGGTTCAGCAGTTTCCGATCTCAAGGCGTTCATCCAATCAGACGGACAAGGATTCCAAATGTGGACTACCAATTTGAAATGCCGCTATGAAGACGCTTATATCTCATCACTTCTGATCAATGATTGGGTAAGGATAAACACCAAGTTTGGTTAATGTGGGGTCAGCAGTTTCCGATCAGACTGACAAGGATTTCTCTCGTCGAAGAGGCTTTCTTCTCTCTGTTACATACTTTGTATAAACCTTATATACAATTTTAACCCTTCGCGTACAGGTTTTAAGAAGCGAGAGTTTGGTAGGATGCTGAAAAGAAAAACGGTTTCCATAGATGTTCCTTTACGCATAAATTGAAGAAATTTAAAAAATGTGGACTACCAATTCGAAATGCCTCTATGAATACGCTTATATCTTTTATTATTTTATTTTATGTACACGTAGAGCTTAGCAGCATGCCTCGCTTTTGTCGGCATTTTATTACAACTTTTCTAGAAGCGTAACGCATTCATGAGACTCTTAGTTAATTCTTCATATAAATTTTGCTTTTCCTTTTTATTTTTGACTGCACCAAATTGTAGCGAAAACGTGAAATTCTTGCAACAAATTAACACATCAACAAATTTGCGATAAACGCGAACATGGAACCCCACAAACAATTATACCTTTACGATATTTTAGTGCTCAGCTCAGATCCACCATTGGCCGGTGACGAGGACTCTGCTCTTGTGTATAGTGTCCGCTTATTTAAGGAGTTCGTGGACATACCGCTCGATCGGCAAGTCGAGCAGGGTTTTCCCAATGAGCCATTGGGGCAATTGTTGGCGAGTCCGTGCGAGCTAACGGGTGCCCTGGCGGCGGGCGTTTGTGTGACCCTACGCCGTGACAATGAAGTGCTCGGGTCTGGGCAAGGCACATTACCGCCATTGTTCTTGCGGCAACTGTCAGAGCCCACTTTTGTGGCCACGCATGTGATGCAAGTGGAGCTGCTTAAGCGTAAAAAGCCCGTGGCCACTGTTGAGCTCAACATCAAGATGCAGTCCACACATCCGGATCTGGAGTAAGATGGCGACAATGTTTTGTGTCCTTTCTGTATTCTAAATCGGCCTATTTCCTTCTCCAGCCCTAGCATGGCGGCATTTGGCTGCTTCGATGTCTGCCGGCCATTAGACAAGACTGTCAATCCACGTGACATCATCTTTACGTTAGGTCGCTCCAAGACGAGTCCGGCAACGACGGCAATTACGGACCAGCGATTGATGGACCAGGCGGCGTTTCCATTCACTTGTCAGCACAAGGCCAGTTCGCCCGAGGCTCCAGGCTGCAAATGCGTTCTGCGGGGCACAACAGCGCTGGATGCCGATGCCGATGCAAGACAGGAACGTGCTGACTTGCAGCGCTTGCTGACGGAGCTTAATTTGGATGAGAGGTCCTTGCCGGTGCCCCCACTTAGTCATTTACAGGCGCGGCAGCAGTCCACCTGCAAATGCATGAGAATGCAAACGTCGACGGACTCGATTACCGAAGACCTGGATCGCCTCTGGTCTGAGAATGGACAAAACGACTTCGATGCGGCCGAGACGGCGGTAGCCCAGCGCGAGAAAGCAGAAACTCGCAAGAGAAACTTGGGTGTCAACCAGCAGGCCAAGTCGCCGCAACTTACCGAAGCAGTTCCGGCTCGGCCGACGCTCTGCGCTTTGTGCAGCGCTGATATCGGGTGGGTGCCGCCCTTGGCCGCGTGTCCTTACTGTGGCTTTAAGAGTTTCACCGAGCCCGCAGAGAAGCCCTACGACGAGACAGCAACTGCCAAGGAACTACTCTACAATTACTTCCACGAGCGCAGGAAAGGGTGCCAAGCTGCCTCTGACGAGGACAATTCAGTACCAGCTGCAGCTGCGGAGGACGAGGAGCAGGATCCTAATGTGCCAGCTCAATGTGCTTGCGTTTCGGGGCGGACCTGCACGCGGTGTCGCATTCGCAAGCTCTGCGAACAGATGTTTAAGGAGTCCAACATCAAGCATCTGCATGTGCTACCAAATAGTACGAAGGAAACGGAAAAGGATAAGTTAGAAAAGAGGGAGTCCACCGTGTCGCAGCGACGCACGCAACTCGTAAAGATTTTCACCGAAATGCGAAATGCCTACGACAGGAAAAAATCAACTGCGACGTTGCTGAACGAACCTGAGGAGAAACCGGCCGAGAATTATTGCAAGAAACGGAAGGGTGGTAGAAAGTCGGCCCGCACTTGCAAATCCGAGACGTTGAAGAGAGTGCTAGCGGAGCTGGAACAAACGTATACGGCCAAGAAATGTAAGCGAAGGCGTATTGTTCGTCCTCGATCCAAACGGTAAGTGTAAAGGGTGTTCTATAAGTGACAATATTATACCCTGCACCCGTAGGGCAAAAGGGGTATATTAGGTTTGTGCAAAGTATGAAGGAAACATCTCCGACCCCATAAAGCATATATACTTGTATTCTTGATCAGCGATCGCTTGTTTTTATTATAATTTTTATATGCTTATTTAAATGAAGAATATTTATTTTATTATCAAGGTTCGGCTTTTTGTGTCCAGATAGGGTTGAGCAACGATAAGAAGTAGAAGCATAATTCATATCCAACTGATATTAGTTAATATAATTATATTTAATATACTAAGGATGGGACGTTTGCCTTAACGAAAATTATTGCAAAAAAATAGCGAAAATGAAATGCGACAAGTGCCTATATTTAACAATTTTTTTAAAACTAAGCTTCAATTTCGGCTTACATACTAAGCCCAGGGTAGAGAAAAAGCCCGCTCTTGCGCACTCTTTTCGCCATAAACTAACTTTAACATTTTCTCTTAAATTACACTACTTTACTCCAAGTGTTGAATAACAGATTAATCCTATTGAAAAGTAAAATATTTTCAAGCGTAAAATATGTTTAAGCAGCTTAATATAAAGAACCATTTGGAGGCATTGGCATATAATCTTGTTCTAAGCCGTTTTCGTGCAAAAGTTTTGTTTGCTTGTGGTGGTCCTTTTGCTTACGATATCTTCCGATATCCATTCAATGTTGCCTCCTTAAGCTCTTTTAGAGATAAAAATTATAATTCAAGGCGATAGGAAGTTTCTTCCCAGTACCTATTACATCGATGGAGTCAGTCTCAGTTGCATCCGAAATTCGAGTAGTGTGTTTTGAAAGTGCGAAATTTTATTTTAACATGTTTAGCCAACGAGAAAACTGTGTAAAAGTACGTTTCCTTTTTTAAATATTTTCAACTTATATCGTGTAAGAATGAGATTGTCAGCGTGTTAAAAGAGAAAAGGCAGCGAATTTGTAATCGTGTTAGACCGAGTTCCAATTAAAAGAGGACGTGTTAAGCGACCATATCATATATTATAATCGAGGGAAGAGCCGCAGATAATTGACAACACTGTCCTTGCCAGTTCAACTATTTTTCTTTAGGCCATTATATTATTAAATGTTAAATGAAGACCTCAAATGTTTTCTGCAGCTACACCTTTTTCAAAAAGAAGCTTGTTCCCCGTTCCAATCGCATTGGCCACCGCTGCTGTATAAGCGATAGCGCCCATGCGGGCTACTCCAAGATACCCTGTCATATGGGTTGGATGTGGACAAAGAACGAGCTGGCTCGCTATAAGTGCTGGAAGCCCGGAGCCATTGCCAAGCCCATACGTACACTCATGTCCTATTTTCTACGGGACTATCCCTTGGATAGAATCTGCATATCGCGATACCACTATCGCCGGCGCAAACGTGTAGACCCCGTGGAGGAGGAGCCGCTGGTGCAGCATCCAACGCTTCATATCAGCAAGAAGAACGATGAGTACACAATCACACTACGTCCTTTGAAGGAGCCCAAGGCTCTGGCCGTGTGCGCCAATCCTTATGCCGATATGAAGCCCGTCGTCTTTCGCATTACCAAGGATCCACTGCTGGCAGAGCAACGACGTCTTAAGCGGGCACTCAAAAAGCTTGGCTTCGAATATTGTCGTTGCCAGCGACCTGTAGCTAAATGCTGTTGCCGGAGCTATATAGACAAGAAGCGTGTATCGTTTGAGTTGGAGAATCTATGTCGAGATCATGGCGTAGCCAACATGGTGGACACATTTGTCTACTCCGAGTCCAGCGACAGTGAGGCCGAATATGATTTTGGAGTAACGCCACCGGCGGGGCTCACCAAACCTGAACGACTCAAGGTCACCAATGTGGCTAACTGCCAGACGCAGTATTGCGAGAATGATTGGGCCGAATACACTATGTTTCCACATCAACCGAACGCCCTAACACAGTACGCTGCGTGTACAGGCGGAGAGCGTAAGGCTATGTTCCCCTGGATCTATGGCAAGGGCAATGTGCATCAAGAGCCCAAGCCACCCAAAATGCGTAATCTGCCGAAAAAGGCGAAGGGAAAATCAAAGGGATAATAGATCCAGCCACGCTGGAAGCTTATTATAATCATGACAAGATTTCTCCGCCTAGCAGAAGACAACAAAAAAAAAAAAAATTATCTGTTCATTTAAAACTGTTTTTAAATGGACACATTACAAAAAGTAATAAAGAAACTCAAACAGTATTTTTTTGTCTATTTCTTTCTAAGAATATTAAACGTTGCTGCTACTGAAGCCTAATATAGTTTATACATATATATACTTGTATATATATATATATATATATATATATATATATATATATATATATATATATAAATATATATAGAAACAAATATTCTTTTTTTCTTTTAGCTTTTCCGAAAATTTTCAAAATCAACTTGATATTTCATAGAATTTAACGGTTCATATTTAAATATTAAATATCAAGTTGTTTTGAAAAATTTCGGAAAAGCTAAAAGAAAAAAAAAGAATATTTGTTTCTATTTATTTCAATCTCCATATACTTTTTTTAAATTAATCAATAAATTGTGTTTTGCGATGAAAATAGATTAGAATATTTGTGGTTTTTGTTCGCTCGTTTCCAGTTGAGATATACTGCTTGCAATAGCGGCCCAGTCAGCTTTTTCTAAAAGCTTATATTACAGTGTTTAGCACGACACCTGGCGGAAACTTAAAGAACTCCACATAATTAGTTTTACTAGTCTTTGCCAGATGGCGACAGTGTAACGCATGTATGGCAAATGTGAGCCATTTATAATTGCGTTCAATAATATGCACTTAGTTTGTTTAGTACTTTTACTACACATGTAATATTATAAGAAATATGATAACACTTTGTTTCAACGCAAGCCAGCCAGACAAGATTATTGATACTCTGTAGCCTACACATTTGTAGTAACTGCTAGAATCGTTAGTGACTCTGGTCTGTAGTTCTAGCGAAGCCCGATAGGTGCGAGAGTGTTTATCAAAATTCCAGTGTTTGCCACGACACCTTGCGGATACTTAAAGAACTCCACATAATTCGTTTTACTAGTCTCTGCCAGATGGCGATAGTATAACTCATGACTAATTTTCTGCCTATTGGTCGCCAAATCGTATTCCTGAGTTATATCTTAAACTAAGGTCAACCGATCGATATTATTAAGAAACCAAAAATTAACCAATTGACCAATATTGTCTTCTCACAATCAGCTATGATTAAAAGGGGCGAGAGCACAAACGAGCGAGAAATTATTGGCAGACTGGCTTCTTTTCCTTAATAATGGTATGTGACGGGGCCTAACAATTATGGTTAGAGTTGATAAATCAATGGTAGTTATGGAAAGTTATAAACAATTGAAAAGTGGCAGAAAGGCATGAAAAGGCTCCTAAAGGAAATGGAGCGTGGAGAATGGAAAATTTCATTATATTTGAATGATATATGCTAGATAGATAGATAGTCTGGTGGTCGTGTGATTTCATACGAAATTAGTTTTACATACAGCCAAGACGCTGAACCAGGTGCGAAATTCTAAATAGGCGAATTGCTGCAGTACTTGGGACTAACAATAAGTAAACTAACCAGAAAAATAACAAATAAAAAAAAAAGAACATAAAATAAATAAAAAGCAATACTAGTACAAAAAATGTATAGCTTTCTGGCGGAGGCGGCGGCAGTTGAAAAGTAAAGACATGCAACCTCAGCGATGCCATTGTTGTTGTTATCCTTCATCTGTTGTTGTTGTTGTTGCTGTTGCGCTGCCGCTGACAAACACAGCTGTCGAGTGCGGGCGCTTAAATGGCAAGTAAACTGCAGCAAACTGTTTGCTTTGCTAATTTTCCGGGGTGCATTCCTTGTCGGAGTCGACAATTGTGTGGGCGTAGACAACAACAGCAAGTCAGGCCAAGCAAAGCCAAAGCCAAAGCCAGGCCAAGTCAAGCCAAGCGAAGGCAAGTTAAGGCGTCAGGCCAGGCAGGCCGCGCAAATTCACGTGTGAGAGGGTGGGGGTGGGAGACAATGGGTATAGCTGTGCACTTGCTGCTTATTATTTGCACTCGGCAAGGCCAAAAGCATAATAAATTGAGAGAAAACGGCATGCGACGGCTAGCTTGCTAAGGGGTGGGGCAGAAGTGGGGGTCGGGAGTGGCGGCGAGAAGAGAGAGTTGGAATAGGATGGGGCTGGAAATCTTTTATTCATGAATGCCGCCCAATAAAAATTGCACAATTTGAAGTCGTAGCGGCTCGACTACAACGACGGAGACATTTTCTCCAAAAAAAAAAAAATTGGGAGAAAAAAATGTGCGCGCTAACGTTGCCGCAAGAACACTTGAGGCTGCTCTCAAGGATTTCGGCAGCGGCTCCGAGCCTTCAGTCCAACTATAGACACGGCTGCAGGCGATAGTTGCATAAATCATAAAACGTTGTTGCCGTTCTTACCCGCCAAAGGACTTTACGACACTTAAGCAGCCGCACAAGTCTCCAAGTGTCTGAATTTGATTGCACGAGCGCGTAACTCCTTTGAAAGCGAGTGCCCTCTCTCGCCCTTACCTTTCTATCAAGCAAAAGTGATCCCAAACAGTGGTCCCGAAATTCAAATCAAACTAAAGCCTCGAACGGAGTTGGATAAATCTTTAATCGTTCATTCATAGTTCTGGGAATAGATAGAAGATGTGTAAAATTGTAAATCAAGAGCACTACAACAACAGAGTCAATAGTCAATTCTGCTGCAAGTCCAGTAACGAAACACGCACTGTATTTTGTTTTTGCATCAATTTGTTTGCGCGTCAGGCTGGCGACCATTTACTTAAAATAAAAAAACCTTAATAAATTGAATCAAGAAAATTGAAGAATTTCTTAAAATGTATTATTTTCTCTCTACTACTCCTTCATAAAAACATGTTTATTTTTCGCAAATTGCGATTTATAATTTTGCAATATTTTCAGAGCCAATTCATTTGTTTCGTTCGAATAACAAACTGCCTGTGCCGTGCACGCAAAACAGAGCAGTTCATATTTCCTTCGAGTGACGTACAGGAAACAAGAAGTGAAAATAAGTGCACAGTTATTGTTCTTGTTCCCCATGCATTTGCGTTTGTAAAGCATTTGAAATTATTAATACTATTCAAAAATGTTTAAGTTCTTGTTCAAATATAATAAAATAGTTGGAAAATTAATTTAAGAAAATGTGTAATAAATGTTTCTTCACCGTGTCAGATGTGGTTTGTCTTTTACAAGTATTAAGACAATTTGTAAAAAAATTATTATATTTTTAACGATTCTACAAAAGGATTGGGTGAACCGATTTTCATGATTCTTTTTGTTTTAAAATCTGGTGATTGTTGAATGGTCCCATTTGAATTTGGTCCAGTTTTGGCAATGATATCCATGTGAAAACTATCCTAAACATACCCCATATACAAAAGTCCAAATAGCTGAAAATTCTATTCCTGAACAGGATGCTATTACTTCAAAATGACAAAAAAGAAACATTCACTGCACTAGACCTGAAGTTGGTTTCCACGTCTACGAAGCATTCGACTGTGTCTGCCACCAAGGTCCATCTTAGGATGAGAATAGAAAGCCGACTGCCGACTTCGATCTTATACGGTTCTAATTGAAGGGTCCGGTCCGGTTTAGTGTAATGTCCTGGGCCTATTTCTCTTCTCTTTAGATTTGCCAGACATCCCAAAGGAGTATACGTTTAAGATGCAACTCGCATCGATATACAACATCCATATGTATGTATTGTGGTCAACTCTCCGAACTTTCAAGAAGCGAGGGACGAGCATTAGGACTATTTACATAGGCTCGAGACATGAACAAGCAGGTGGAAGACACGTTTAGACAGGTCCATGTTTGTCCAAGACAGCATGCAACAATTAGATAAATGGAAATGTATGAACATTGAATGCAAAATGCCAACCACTGTGCCTCAGTTCTGAATGGGCTCTGCATTTCTTGGATTTTATTTATGTCGGTTAAATGTGTGCGTAAGTGTATGTGTGACTTGATTTTTCGGGGCTTTCGCGCTTAAATATGCACTAGTAAAATATGTTTTTTTATCGTGCACAAATTGCTGTCGATATGAGGGAGTAGTAGGACGTGTGATATATGGGTGTACACTCCCACACACACACACACGCATACATATTTGTATGCAACAAGTTTTGCATGTAATCTCACTTGCAAGACAATTGTCTTTGCCAGCTGAACCTGCCCTGCCCCTGTTCCTGTCCCTGTTCCTGTCCCTGGCCCTGCTATCCCCGCCCGTTCTGTTCACCACCAAACCGCCCCCGCAGCAATGCTCGCAGCACTTAATTTATGACCTGGTCTGCAATAATTCAAAGTCATAGGCCTCCAGAGACCATTCAGCACACTGGCCGTGCGTGTACTGGCACGCACCAATAACAAGAATATTCACGGCAACAACAATACAAGTAAGAAGAACATCCCCACCTTGCCGCAAGCTCTTGGCCAATGTAGCTGTTGCGGCTCAAGAATTTTTAATTAAAATATTAAAGCATGGCCGCAAGGTGTTTTTAATCTTGAAAATTGTTCTAATTGTTATTTAGGATTTGCTGTTGTGTTGGTTTTTCTGTTATTTTTCGGAATTTATGTGCGCCTAATTAGAACAGACAACAGGAGTGTTTGAGGCAAGTGTGGCACGGCAAAGTGGCAGTTTCCAGCTTTCTTCAATCCCCCTCTCGCCCCTCCATCGCCCTCTTGATACTCTAACCCGGGTTTCTGGAAAAAGCCGTCTTCATAATTACCATATTTTCAAATTACCATTCGCCAAGTGAGGCCAAAGCAGAGCCCAAGTCAAAGGTGCACTGTGGGGCGTACATACTAAGTAGCTTCGTTTCCGGTCAGTGTTTTTCTTTGCGTCTGGATTATATATATTCCTAAACTAACTTTTCAATCTCTGATACTTTGCATATACAATGATATCAAGTACAGTCTTCCCAAGTGCCAGCTTCTGCAGATTATATTGTTTATATTCAAAAAAATTAGCATTCTATAGCCGTAAATTTTTTTCAGAATATTTTTCAGAAACCTTCAATTGACTAGAATTGAAGTGTTGTTGTTTTCTGAAAACTAGTAAATATTTCTTATATATTTTAGTATATTTGCTATATCATAAAAAATATATATCTTAATACTGTGCTATATGTATGTATAATATAATAATACTATAATATATCA